TCATCCGATTGCTTTGAAATTTCGTATGCATGAATGTTTTGAACAGATCAGGCTGGAATGACGCCGACTGGGGACGTATAATCTTTAGCGACGAATCCCGCTTCCAACTGTGTCCTGACGATCATCGAAGACCTGTTTGGAGGCGCAGAGGGGGGATCCTGCCTTCACTATTGCACGCCACACCGGCCCTCAACAAGGCATTATGGTCTGGGGTGCCATTTCCTTTGACAGTCGGACCCCTTTGGTCGTCATTAGAGGTACACTTACTACACAGCGGTGCGTCGACGACATCCTAGGACCTGTTTTGCTACCGTTCCTTTTGCAGAGCCCTGGGCTGGTTTTTCAGCGGGACAATGCCAGACCACATACGGCATGTGTTGTTATGAACTGTCTGCAAGCTTGTCAAACTCTTCCTTGGCCTACCAGATCTCTCTCCCATTGAGCATGTCAAGGATATGATGGGAAGGCGATTGCATCTGGCACGGAATGTTGATGACCACGTTCGACAATTGGATTGAATTTGGCAGGAAATACCGCACGAGACCATCCGAGAGCTTTATAGGTCTATGCCACGCCGTGTGGCAGCTTGTATCCAGGCTAGAGGCGGGTCAACACCTTATTGAACTTGTTACTGTTACTCTGCAATAAATTATTCAATTGTTCTGAAATTTTAATCATTTACTATTCTGTACATTGTCTTCCTATCCACCAATTTTCGTTTAAATCGGACAGCTCCTTCTTGGTGCATCGATTTTTTTGTTATAGAGTGCATTTCAAAGTTTGTTGGAGCAATCCTACATACTTTTTTTTTAATTTATATTGCCAGGGTTTGCTATAAGCAATTTAATGTCCATGCAATAAATTTAATTACAATTCTTATTTTTTACTGATGTTTTTGATATTGATCTTTCATATTTTTACATTGTTACCTTTAAAAGAAATATTGAATAAAACAACTTATTTATTAATTTATAGTTAAAAACTCTTCTAAATTTTGTTAGTTTAGCATGGTGTCTTGATTTTGTCAAGAATTCACTGTGTTTTCATGATAAAAATATTTTTGAAGAAAAAAAATTGTTTTTTTAAATTACATTTTTGCTTTCCTTCTAGCTTGAGTGCCAATTTAAATGAGCTTTGCTACATATTAACTATGTGAGTTTCAAATAGAATTTTAAAAAAAAAATATTTTGTTTTTAGTAATTATTTTTGAATTTTTTGCTTTAATTTCTGAACCTAAGATTTTTAGCTAAGAAATTGTTGTTTTTTTAGTTGTTCAAAACCATTTAAGAATTATATACAGTCAGACTTCTATATAACGAACTTCCATTTTGCAAATGTTTTCAAGGAGCCAAGAACATTTTGGAAATTTCTTCGTAAAATAACTTCCAAATATCGAGGTGAATTTTCTATTCAACAAACTTTTCTTTGAGATCCGCTTTCCATATTTCCCAAAATATTTCAGAACATTTTAAACTTGTTAATGCATTTTATGGGGGAAATAACCTTAAATTGAATTTCAAAGCCACTTAACTTTTAGAGAAAGCAGTCAAATCACTTTAACTTTTTTTTGGCATTTCAAACGAAAAACTCTAACATAAACGAAAATTAACGGATTTTATTAATAGCAATTAAACTTTAGAAAGCATGTGGTAATGTATTATTTAAAATTACTTTATAATAAATGCAGTTATAATTTTATGCATAAACTTAGCTTTTTTTAGTTGAAATTTTTATAGCATGATTGTGTAACACTAGATAATGTTTTGCTTTATTCTTGCTTTCCATGCAGATTTCTTTTGTGATTAAGATTTATGAAATAAATAGTAGATACTACTTTACAATATAAAGATGTATCCTTTGCTATTTTAATTATGTCTAGTGTTTGTGAATTTGAAACCTGTTTTGTGTCGTTAATGTATTTCGAAAGATGATTTTCTATTTAACGAATTTTCCATATAACGAACTTATTATCATTGATTTAACAACTTCGTTAAGTATAGTCCGACTGTATATATTATTTTTTTTTATATTTGTTTTAAATTTAGGCTTTTAGCTATTTTAGCACTGACTGTAGTTACTTTCCTTTTTTTTTTATATAATTTTCTCTTTCCAATTGCATTTATTTATATATATTTTAAAATTTATTTTTAACTGTTTAGGCACTCATGTAATCGCTATGATAAGCAAAAGAACAAAATAGGTAATACCGCTAAAAAAAAGTCTAATGTTGCTCTTCAAAGATGTCAGTTCTACTATAAACGTTATCTTAACCATGAGCAAAGCTTAAAATTTGAACACTTGGTAATTATATATTTCTTTTTTATTTTTAATGTCTTCTTTAATATTGCCTTTTTATTTCATGCTATTTCTGTCTTTTCAGCTTTATGCCTGGGCTAAAGTTAAAATGGAGGAAATGATGCGACAGCAGTTGTCTTGGATAGAGGTAAAGTTTCTTAAAACAGCTGTAGATGTATTGTGCATGTGTCGTCAAACGCTCATGTTCACTTATGTCTTTGCACATTTCTCCAATAAAAGTAATCAATTTGCTATATTTGAAGTAAGTTTTCTTTTTTATTATACTTTTAACACCTTTCCTTGTTGTTTTTAAAATTGTTATATTTTGTACATTTGTACTATTTTTAAGGTATTCTGAAATTCAGCTTTTTTTTTTCTTAATTGTTCATTCTGAACCAATGTGCTAAAATACTTAATGTTGGGACAAATCATGTAAAAATTTCAAAATGTTGTGAGCATTAATAACCTTAATAAATTGAAGCAATAATATTTTAAGCAAAAATCTGACCAACAAATTTACGAGGATGGTAAAAGGTATCAGAAGGATGAAAATGTAACATAAACATGTCACATATTGCATTGAGAGAGTAAAAGTAGCACAAAAAAAACATTCAGGCTTCAATGTCACATTGGAAAACAACTATAAAAAGATTTATTTGATTAATTATTTTTATAGTTATTCATATGTCATGTTGGCTGTTATCATCGCACAGTCTGCAAGAACATAAAAATGATTTTGTTATAGCATTTGCAGATTATTTTTCATCTCAGATTTTTTTTTAAATTGAGTTCTCGTGAGACAGTGTCTGCTGTAGCATAGCACATAGATAACATAGCCACTAAAACACAAGTTAAGGTTACAGAAAGAGAAGTAGAAGTTTCCCAGTAGAACATCACTAACTGCGTTGGGACCAAGGATGCGCGGTATTGATCCTCCTTAAACTGTTTGTAAAGTGCTCAACTTCGCATGTAGGTCAGCGAGATACCAAAGTGGGCAAGTCATTCCCTCTGGCGAAGATAAAAACTGCGATGACATGTCTTTGGATCATCCTTTGGGATGTTTCCCAGATCATCTCCAATAGCCCATTCTGCAGCTCTAGTGCGAAGCAAATGAAGTACCTACCTTGAGCCATTTCTGTAGGGATAGCACAGTAATTTGTTTGCAAAAAAACTCTGCATTAATGCAGAAATTTGTCTGCAAAAGATATTTGAAAGAATTCCTGAATGATCCTTTCAGATTAAAATTGAATTATTATAGGATACTCGGCAATATATTTGAGGTAATAATCTGATCTGCATACGCAGCGTAATCTTTTTTTTTTTTTTCCTAAAACTGTGCAACTTGAAATAACTGAACATAGTGAATTGTACTAATTTTCAAATTAATTTAATCTGTATTAATTTTTCTGTTTAGTTATTTGGATATTTTAACTTAGATTCTATTCCATCTTCCCTTTTAAGTATTTTATTTCATTTGTTTTTGCCTAAATTTAAGCAACATACATTTTTGTGTGTAATTCGTATCTACCTTATAATCGCGAATTCAAATTTTGCTATATATATCTTTGTATAAGACTATTTGTATCAAAAATAAACATGAAAATAATTTAGCTGGTGTGGTTTTAGTTAAACTGATTGTATTTATTGAGTTAGTTGGAATTTAATTTTGCTTAATTTGTTTCTGTTTAATTACATTTTTTTAACCATAATTTTTGTGTGCATCAAATAACCTTTGTTCACATATATATAGGTTGCTAACATAGAGATTAAAAAGCTGATACCAAATAAATAAAAAATGAGATAAAACAGAGAAAGTAAAAACTAACAAAATTGTTAGTTGCATTAAAAATAAATTATCTAGAATAATAAAATTTTTAATTAAGTCAATTCTAAAAGAGCAAAAAATATTATTTCATTAATGAAAAATTATGCTGTCAGCACATGAATGCAAAGCTTAGCACAACATATAAATTTGAAAGTTCAAGATATAATTTAAAAATTTTTGTACTTTTAGAGTATTTGGTGATTCTTAATTGCCTTTAAAAAACAATGGAATTTTTTTCATGTTTACTTTTATAAATTTATTGTGTATTTCTCTTTTTAATCACCTGCGCAGGATATATCCTCTTGGTGACGAATGTATGTTTATTTCAATTATTTTTTAACTTATCTGTTTTTTCAAAGAAAGGGACTTACCTGGGTCAGGGATAGCCTAAAATTATCTGGTAATTTTACCTTGTCTCTAAACAGCAGGAAATAGTCAGAAAAAAATTGCAATTTAAAAAAATTAATAAATAAAAAACCTGGAAAACTCATGCCTGGAAAATAACCAGTCTCAGAATTGTCAATAACAGTAATCAGTTATTGAGATCCGAGTTAAATAATTCTGTCATCTATAGCAATTATTTGTTGTAAAAATTTCGCATTTTAGTGAAACTTCCATTCATTCAATGATGTTTCTTTGCTCACAAAGCCTAATATTTGACATTGCAAGTAAAGAATCAAAGTTGTCTGATGTAAAATTGCATGGTATAGATAAAACTTGTTTTTGATTTTTATTGAAATTTTCCTGATTTACTTGGAAAAGTCAAGAAATTTTTTTCCTGAAAATGTTTGTTAAAAATGAAGTTTACACAATATACACTTATGTCCAATTTTTATCGACCTTAAATTTACTAATTTAGATTTCGTTATACGTATATTTGGGCAATCCTTATTTTTACTTTTTAGCCTTATTGACCTTACATTTACTAATTCAGATTTCGTTATACATATATTTGGGCAAGCCTTATTTTTATAATTGTCTTGAGTTGTAGGCAGCTTTTGATTTATGAAGTTGTGCTACAGATTTACTTCATAAAACCAGATACTGGATTTTTATTTCAATAAATTCATGCATTTATCTGGATTCATACATTTTATTTTATTGGATTAGTAGATTATTAGTAGATTTTTTTTGTTTCAGTGCAAGTTGTGTCACACGATCTGTTTCTTTCCAAATGTAAAAAAATTGTGTAGGTTAGCTTATTTTGTTTAAGTGTTTACTTAGACATAAATTTTTGCATAGGTGTCTGCTGCTGTGCAATTGAAAAATCGGCGTAAGCGGCAAATATTCAAAATTGAGGTTTTTATATATTTGACATCTACATATTGCATCTACATATTGACAAGCTACATATTGCAAAAAATATTCAAAAATAAATTTTGTTTTATCAGTTTCTTGAAATTCTATTTTAATTTTCATAGCATTAACAGAAGGGAAATAGTTGTCAAGTCTTTTTTTCTCAGATAAGTTATAAATTTACAAACAACCTTACTCAAGGGAAGAAAGACACCAGGGTCCAAATCTGCTGAGGACCCAGTCGAAATTCCTTTAAAAAAAATTTTTTTTTGAAAGGAAATTGCTGAGAATTTGGCTATATTTATATAAAAACTACACTTTTGAATGACAGGTATGCAAAAATTCTACAAAATGTAAAAGTAAGAGTAAGACTTTATGCTGTTTGAGGAAGAGGCACAAATTATCCTGTACCTAACCTTGCCTATAGAAAAGAAATATAAGTAAAGCTTGCTTCGAATTTTTTTTTTTTTTTTTAAGGTATTGAAATTTTATTATACTGATTTATTAGACACATTCTATACCAAAATCCATCTGACTTAATTTGCTGAAATTCTTTTTGAATTTGAATTGTTATCAAAAAATCCTTATTGGAAATAAAAAAAAATGATGTAAAAGGTAATAATAAAATTTTTATTCTTAGTTTTTTCAAATCTGATGTGTTTATTTTTTATTTTAATGCTACCAAAATGCTTGTATACAAGTCACTTTCTCTTAAATTATAAGAGAATTCTACATTGCATTTTTTTTCCCCTGTCAGCACAACCAAAGAGATTTGGAGAGAGCAACAGAGTTGTTGTCTAAATAAAAGAGATGTAACAAAAGAAAATGTCTTAGACATTGTGCAAAAAGTTCGAGACAAATACAAGTAAATTTTTTAACATTGTTTTTCAGTGTGTCCTTCAAAAGTTTTGACATGAAAAATTAAAAAAAGCCATTGTTTGAGTGTCAAAACTTAAAGCAAAGCTTTATTTAACTTAAAACATAAATAGTAAAAAATTAAGATAAAAAAAATTTAAATAAAATTTCATTTCACTTTCTTTTTTAAAAAAATGCGTTTTTTAAAACTTTTTTTTTTCAATTTAGGGAAAAATATTTTTTTTATTGATACTGAAATTGCTAAATTTTAAAACAATTAAAAAAGATATTCTATTTTTAAAAAAACTTACTACATTTTATTTAAGTGCAAGAAAATATTGCAGGAAATATTGTTTAGGACATAATTTCCTTACATGGAAATTGCCTAAGATAACGTTAACTTTTAATTTTTTTTCCCTTTCATAAATCTTCATACTTAACTTCAAATTTTACATAAAATATGAAAGATTGTCATTGAACAGTTTACAACCTAAAATGTGTTTTGATATATCACATTTTAAATAAAATTCAAAAAGAGTTATCGTTCATGCTTTAAATTTAAAATTATTTGTTTAACTACTCACTCAGCGGTGCGACAGCCCATAAAGGGCCATGGCTACTGTGCCCATCTCAGTTTTCTTGACCTTTGGGCTCTGGGGTGCAGGAGCAAATGTTCTGGTTCGGTGGTCAGCCGAATGCGAAACCCCCAGTGTTTAGTTCCCAAGCATGCTTGGTACTCATTTATCGACCCACTGAAGGGATGAAAAGCTGAGTCAACCTTGCCCGGCCCGAGGATCGAACCAGGGACCTGTGGCACGACAGCGAGAAGCGCTACCGCTCAGCCACCGGGTGTCTTGTTTAACTACTTAGTAATGTAAAAGTATACTTTATATTTATATCTAATAACATAAATCTGTAAAAAATAGTACATATTATTTTTTATGACTTTTCTATTAATAAACTTTCTACCTTTAATAATTGCACTTGACAAAACTTATATGGTGTATTTTAAAATTAAAATTAAAATGAATTTATTCCTCGATTATTGTTTAACAGAAACTTGTGAGAAGAAATTCATACTAACATAACATTTATAATGTATGTACTATTATTAATACTAACTACAATTCAATAATTTTTAATTTGTGTTTTAAAATTAAAATGAATTTATTCAACTTTAAATTTCTAACTTAAACTTGTGAAAAAAACATGCACTAACCTTGATAATGAGTGTACTATTAAAAATATTTTTTGCAATTGAGTAATTTATATTTTTCAATTAAAAATAAAAATTAATTTGTTTAACTATTACTTGATATCAAATATAAATGCATAAGAAATTGTACATATTATCATTTAATGTCTTTTTAACATTACCTACTACAGTAAAAAATAATTTTTTTTAACTATTAAAATTAAATAACATCAAACATGAATAAATTTTAATTCTTAACCATTGCTCCTAAATTTTTTTAGTGAGTCTATTCTTTTGCTAACACTTTTTTTTTTTTTTGCTTTGGTTCTATAAAATTTGAATGTAAATATTAGGTTAACTTAAAGTTCAGTCAGTTCATGATTTTTATTTCAATTAATTGCTTAGTAAGCTAAACTATTTCATTTTACAAAAGGGTTATAATATTTATTTTCCTGCGAATAAGACATCAACTGAATGTTGTATAGTAATGGTGAATATCTTGTAAAAAATAACTTGTATACAATTGTTGTTTTGCATTGTATATATTCTTCACTTCCCTGGATGCAGAAAAATATTTAATTACTTGTTATGAACACATTAACATATTTTTATGTGAATTTAGTATGTTTTGAATTGTTTTAGTACGTGTTGTGTTTATTATGTGTCACTTGTTACTAGATACTGTGAAAGGCGACGTAAAGTGTTGTTGGATCATGTTCGTGAAGGATATCAAGAAGGATGGTGGGAATGTATTGCTCCACCCTCAGAACATCCTGAGCCTTCAACTCTGAGAAAATTTTTGAATACGTTTAATTTGGGAAATTATTTAATTTGGCTTTGGGATTACCTGTAACAGAAATTGCCAAACTTAATCAGAAATTAAATATTTTTTATAGCCCAACCTTGAACACTGCCTGCTGAAAATTATTTGTCCGTGTATGTAACTGTAAAAACTGTCCAAATAAATTATGTTTAGCTAAAAATCTACTCCTATGATAAAAAAAGGTAAAACTGTTTGTAGTGTGATTAAATTTATTATTCAACATTGCCTGTAACAGTAAATACAGTAGGGAATCGATTATCCGGAACGATCGGGACCCTCTCTATTCCGTATAACTGATTTTTCCAGTTTTCTGAATCGCTACAAAAAGTCGCTTTTTTTATTGTTAAACCCAACTAAAAAAAAATTTGGAAATAATCTTAAGAAGAAGAATAAACGATGAAGTAATACACTAATGATTATTTCCAAAATGATGGTAAGGTAAATATCTTTCAAAAAAGAAAGAAAAATCCTAAAATCTTATGAGGAAAAAAAAAATTTTAAAAATGGCCGGAAAATTTATCGAATTTTGATCCGGTTTTTTGGTTTTCCGGTTTTTTGATTTCCGGATAACGGGTTCTGTGCTGTACTTCTAAGTGCATGTGTGTTTCTATGTGAAAACTACCTCGTGTTATTTGTGAAAAAGTCTTTCACCAATGCATAAAAAAATTACATTATTATCATCAACACTGTCATTTACCTTTCTGCATTCTGTATTTAAAGGGGAAAATTTTTTTCCTCTCTTAAAAAAGGATTAATATTTTTTGTGAGATCACTAACACTGCCATATCATTTTTTTTGTATGTGTGTAAATATTTAAAATGTGATAGAGATAACTGTTCCATGCATCATCTGTTAACTATTTTATTACTTTTGTGAAAAAGAAAAAAATATACCTGAAGTTATACAATACATGAAGGTCATTCAACTTTGTTACAGATAATATTTTTTTTACATGTTTATAACTTTGTAAATTATCTCGTGTATTACAAAAAAATTCCATCAATGTGGAAAAATAATTTCAGTTTAATTATTATCAATACAGTGCCTGAGATGATTTTCTTATATCCGCGTAGAAGTGTCTTCTGCTATCCGTGTAGAATGTGAAAATTGTCCATTTATATTATATTAAATATTTTTATCATATATATATTACATCTATTATATATTATTATCCATATATATTATACTTAATATATTATATTTACAATTTTTTGATATTTTACTATTTATCTCCAGTAATAGTAAGAAAAAACTTTTTTATATGAACGTAGCCACAGAAAAATTTATATTTGTTAAAATTTTATATTATCTAATTGTGAAAATTTTCTCACATTTTATATGCCAAATATTGTTTTTTAATTTATGTGATTAAAAAAAAAGCATTTTTCATAGAGGTTCCCAAAATTGTCAATTTACAACAGTTTTTTGGTGTAGCTATATTTAAATTTGAAAATTATCTTCAATTACTATCTGTAAAAAAAGTTGTCCCCCAATTTTGGAAAAAAAGATATCTGTAGAATTAACATTACAATGGACAAATTTCATATTTGTGTATTAAACAGAAAACTTTGTTTGTGAAAAAAATTTCTCATAAAAGGAAAGATAAAATTCTTCGATAACATTATTTCCCTATGACATTGTTATTGAATACAATGTGTTCGTTAATATGCCTCTAAAAAATTTTATATTTGTGTATAAGTTTCTAGTTGTGGAAACTGTCTTGTGTATTAATTGCAAAGTATTTTCCTACTTTTATGAAAAGATAAGTGATAAGATTTTTATTAAAGTTATCTATAACTATCACATGCAATGTTTTTTACCTGTGTATTTGTTTCTTACATGAAAACTACCTCTAATCACATTTGTCTATGGGATCATTAAAACAGATACAGCATGTGTTTGTGTATAAATTGTAAAGTCTGTCTTGTATTTTAGTAAATTATTAACACTTGTTGTAGTGATTAATCGTGAAAATTGTCTCGTTTTATGTGTATGAAAAAAATTACCATCTTTGAGCATGGGTGCCACTTTTCAGCACTGAGGACTGAAATCTGTCTTTAGAAAAATTCAGTGAACTGAATTCCAAACCTTACTTAATACCTTTAATTTGTTTTTTAAATTAATTTTTTTTTAAAAATCCGCATTTTTTTTTTTAAAAAAAACGCATAATAAATATTTTTGATTTAAAATGAAAATAACTTTTTAGTAAAAACATTTTTATTTTTCATGGTCTTAGCGAAATGACTAAATAATGGTGTCACACTGCATTAAAACAATAGGATTGACTGAACTACAAAATCTTTGCTCGTGCAAATAAACTTTGTATTGCTGAATCTTCTGGAGCTAGCATAGCATTCCTTTTCCTTTCTTTCTTTTTCTTTTTTTGTTGTTGATATTTTGAATTGCTGATGAAAATTTCATTAATATTATTTTTTAAAAAGGGAAATTTATGGAGATATGAATAGTTTTAAGGAAAAGTAAGTATACTGTATTTTTCAGGAATTGGTATGGTTAGCTGTTATTTTTTGTTTTGGTTGCTGTAAAAAGTAAACTACAAAAGAATGAAGAAAAATATTCTTTTCAGAAAAAATAATTAAGTATTGTAATACATAACTTATATATTACAATACTTAATATTTTGATTACTGATGAGAAGATAAATTTTGAAATCATGGAGTTTTAAATTTCTGTAAATTCTAGTAAACAGCGCTATACAATGGTTATTGGTCAAAAAATAACTTCAGTCACTCATATTTGGCACTCATGTCTTTGAGAAAGAAAAGGACATATTTTTTATAAGTTCCTCAACATTGTCTCGGTAAATAAAATGTTTGTTTATGAAAAGTACGTAGCGAATAAACTTTTAATTTTTTATTTAAATGTATGTCTGATTATTTAATTGTGAGACTGTATACATTACATTACCTCTAAAAATGTCATTTATCAGCAAGAACATATGCACTTCAACCGACAGTAAAATTTGTCGATGCTACTTTATTTGTCTGGTTTTTTTGTATTAGCTATAGATCAGGGGCTTCCAACTTACATGAGGCCGGGACCGCAATTAAAAGCACCAGTCAAATGGCGGGCCGCAACTTTATTAAAATTTTATATAGGACTCTTTTATGTTTGAAGGAGAAACATTAAACATTGCTGTCAGATTTTTATCAAAGTTTTTTTAATATTAAAAAACAAAATAATGTGCATTACAAATAATGCTTGTTACTTATCATTTTGAATCTTCTTTTAATCAGAAACTTAGTGACAAGATTTTTTTTTTTTTTTTAAATTTAGTTAGACTTATTAGGAATTATAGCAACAAAAAAAATTCTCGAGCATCTGAAATAAATTTTTTTTCTTCTTTTCCGCTCCTGCGATATTCAATTCAAGGAATTAAGATAGAACATGATATTCACTCTTTTATACGCTTTAAAATTTACAAATGTAAATAATTTCGTCCAAAATGAGTAGTTTCAAAAAGTTAAATCGGAGAACTTCTGCAAGAAAATTTCTGATACGCACATGCTAAATTATATTCACAAAATACAAAAAAAAAATGAAATAAAAAGAGAGCAACATACATGATTATTTTTGTATTTTGAATAAATATTTTTTTTTCTTAGATGCAAAACCTGAGAAAAGAAAATTTTTGCACTGTTGGTACTATTACAAATAACGAATAAATTAGGGGTTTTTTTAACGAGAAAAGTATTTTAAACCCTTTTAGATTTTTTAAGAAAATTGTCCCCGAAAAAATGACAACTAATATATTTTAGTTCGCGGGCCACAAAAAAAGGCTTCGAGGGCCGGATGCGGCCCTCTGGCCGCCACTTGGAAACCCCTGCTATAAATGATTTTATTCAAGAGCTACTATCCAAACTTTTTTTCAATTATTCTATCAATGCAGGAAATTTCTTTTTTCAACTGCCGCAACCTAACTGCATTCATTTGGTTTAAAAAATTCCTTAAACAAAGTTTATTTTTTGTAAAATATTTTAAAATTGTACATAAAACGTGTATAGATAACAGCACTTAACTTATTGCACAATTTTAAAATTCATATATCCAAAGTTAATTTATATGCACAATACATTTATACACATAAACACAATTTTCTTTGCTTTAAAGATATTTTCTTTAATACTTAAAGCAATAGTAAATTTTACACTTAAACTTTTTAATCTTGATTTAATAAATTTGATTTGTAATGATTTTGACTACTAATATACAGTGCCTGACAACCGATCAGCAGTTTTTAATTGCTAGCAAAATTAAAAAAATCTGCATAAATATTTTTATTTCCAACCGTAAGAAAATTTAAACAAGGAAACAGCGACAAAAAAACATCGAAAAGTTTTTGATATAAACCAGGTGATATTTGTTCATAGACTCGTTTGTTTTGTCACACAGAAGGTAGGCAACATTTGGTAAGAATAGTAATCGAATAGCAAGACAGTCATGTCATGTAAATATACGAAAAGTGGTTATGCGTATAATAATACTATCGGCGTTTTTTGTTTTGAGTATAAAGAACAACCTTGTTCTTTTTTAATGGCTCGAGGAAATTTTGCCACCATTTCTCTTTTGCATTTTTATGATAAGTTCATGTTATTGTTTCCATTTACATAAAAATATTAACAATGCATCATGTTGTTGCCTTATAGGAAAGAAATCTTTATTGACCACCAGCTTGGTCACCTTTCAAAATTGTGACCAAGCAGTATGTACTGCACCCCTCCACAATACCGACGCCTTTGTTTTACTTGATGCATTAACCAAATCTTTTCCCCATCTAACTGTTGTCTGCGCAGAAGTACTTTGATTTAAATTTTAACTATTTTCAAGAAACTTCATCGTGATTGTTGTTTTCAAATCACTATAAATATGACTTTGGGACATTTAAGCATAGTAGGCAACTGAAGTATTAAAATTACTTCCTTCTTTGTGAGGAGATAAGATAGAAAACTAACTGCAATGCTCCTTTATGTGCCCTTCTATTTCCTCATGCATCTCTTGACCCATAACTTGAGTATCGTGAAATATATATATACATATGTTACTGCTCTAAAAAGGCAAGTTTCATCACTAATAATTGTTATGACACTATGAGGCAGAATAGCACCGTTTATGTTTAAAATTTATGCAACCATTTTAGAAAGGATCAAAAATAATAACTTCGTAATTAAGTTTTCATTTCAATGAAAACACAAAATTATTCTAAAATACTTAACGCATGACAAACTATTCAACACGTTTTAAATTATAACTGAGCCGTGATAGCCCAGTGATTAGAGAATCGGACTCCAATCAATCCTCGACTCCTCCAAGACCCACTGAGTGCATGTACGTACGCGCTCGTAAAATCCGTGGAATCGAAAGTCCCGTGGTTGTGTGCTGACTAGTACAGGAATCTGGAGAAAATATCCTTCCCCTTCAGTTCGATATCTATCTAAAGTGAGAAAGTAGCCTTGTTATGGCACCTTACACAATGGATCTTAGTAAATATTAGCATATAACTAATTAATTAATGCTGCGTGGCAGAGGAGTAATAAACGGGCGTGTCAAAGCAAAATAAAAGTTTTTATTAAGAAATCATTGTATGAGAGCTAAAAATCGAAGTGCTTCTCTCTCAAAAGCTAGGGAAAACCTTACAAATAAGTCCCGAAGAACTTTCACGTCACATTCAAAAAGGGAATTGTTAGTAATTACAATTGGTCTATAAAATAGGTCGAGGGAA